GGGGGGGGGGGGGGCACGTGTGTGTGTATAGATGAGGTTTGCATATCTATGATTCTCTTGAAATTTCCTTTTTATTTTATCATGCTCTTAAAATTTGAATTTCAGGTATACTACAGCAAAAGTATAGAAACAATACCTGTCATGGCGGTGAAAGGAAAATGTGAAGTTAGGAAAAAAGAAGATTTTGAATTTATGGATTCCCCTTACATATATGAGCATGCCTTCTTTTGTCAGTTTGTATATGACCCTGAAAATCAATCCTTAGAACTGGTAATTATGGCTTCGTTGAGATTTTTAAAGATATCTTTTGGTCATGTAATTGTTATTCCTCACATGTCATTTTATTGCTAAAGTTACCATCCCACATCAAGTTGAGCCCTTCCAAAGGATGTTTAGAACAAAAGGCTGCTAGCAGAAAGATAAAAAAGAAACAAATGAACAGGAAAGGTGACTCAGGCAAAACTTCTAATGGTGAAAACAGAAAAGTTGCAATAAATTCTTTGGCCACTCTCGACATATTTGCAGGCTGTGGTGGTCTATCAGAAGGTTTAGAAAAGTCAGGTAATGACCAGTGTGTATGCTTCCCTGCAAATGTTATATCCTTGAGCACTATCTTCATAATCTTTCCTATCATTGCAGGTGCAGCAGTCACAAAATGGGCAATAGAGTCTGAAGAAACCGCTGCTGAAGCTTTTAAGCTCAATCATCCAGATGCCTTTACAGTTGTTAAAGATTGCAACATGGTTCTTAGGTTGGAACTTGCTTTATAATGAACTTCTCATCTCCTTATTCAGATTCTGAAGTACGCACACACACACAACTGTTCAGTATGACAACACTCTCCTAATGGTGCAGGGATATCATGATGGCAAATGGGGATGCTAGTGACTGTATACCAACATCTGAGGCAAATGCGTTAGCATCACATCTTGACAGCAGCACAATCAACAGTTTGCCCCGACCAGGTGAAGTGGATTTCATCATCGCTGGCCCTCCTTGTCAGGTATGATTTATATTCCTTTTCCATTGATAGTAAAGTTCATTGTTTAATTGCTATGGGGAAATAATTTTAAAAAATCCATCTGAGCTTCTCTTTGTCTACAGGGGTTTTCTTTATTGAACAGGCACAATAAGAGTTCAACGAGTGATGTTCGACGCATAATGATCTTGTCGCTTTTATCCTTTGTTGATTACTTCAGGCCCAAGTTTCTGCTCATTGAAAATGTCAGGAATCTCGTTTCATTTGATAATATGAAGCCATTTCAGCTAACTATAGCTTCACTTCTTGAAATGGGTTATCAGGTATATAGATATAATCATATAATGTACTCTTGTCATAAAAAGAGTTTCCAGTGTCAAAGTGTCTTTGTCCAGAAAAGAAAGTATCGAACTACTTTTTAGTGTAATATATCATTAAAAAAGAGTCACAGACACGTTACATACTAATTTTTTTTCAAAAACATGTGTAGGATTCATGATCTACATAAACAGCCTGTTTTTTTCCTTAAAAAGATATACTCATTTACCTGCGTTGTTAAGTATTAATCATACAAACTTATAAAGCATCAGAGTGCTCTTCCCATAGAAAAAGGTGTGGGTGTGTATCGTGTGTGTGCATATCTGGACTCTGGTGTAACGTCAACCTTACTAGGGTTCCTTTTCTTTTTCCTTATTTGCGGGCAGGTGAGATTTGGAGTCCTGGAAGCGGGATTCTATGGTGTAGCACAATCGCGGAGACGTGTTTTCATATGGGCGGCCTCACCCAAAGAGACCCTTCCAGAATGGCCCGAGCCTATGCATGCTTTTCCAGGTCCAGACTTGAGGATCAAGTTAGATTTAAATGGAGATTCCCATTATACAGCTGTTGGCAGCACTAAAGCCGGTGCCCCTTTTCGTTGTCTCACGGTAAGAGACACTATCGGAGATCTACCGGCTTTGACAAATGGGGACTCTGCGACAACCATGGAGGTGCGTAGAGTTCCGGATTCACAAACAATATTTGCAAAACAATACCCTTTTTTTGTTATACTTCACCCATCTCGCTGCAAAATTCCCACTTGTAGTGCAATTTGCAATGTAATTATATTTTTGTTTGTCCCAAAAAGGAGTTCTGTGTTTCATTTGACGAATTTAATAATTCATACTAAGTTAATTTGATGTAGTTGGTTAAACAAACAATTAATTTTTATAAATCTGTTTATGATTTCATGACTTTTAATGGTTGTATGTTGCTAATACATAAATAAAAATTGTACTTTGCCTAATCTGATTCTTTTGGGGAGGGGCAGTGGGGCCGGGTTGGGGGATGGGGGGCAATATATATTTGATCCCTGCACAGTGTATATGTGTTTCTTAAGTTGCTGCACCTGCTATTTTGTCCAGTACAAAGGCAATCCTGTTTCGTGGTTCCAAAAAAGAGTTAGAAGAAACATGACCGTGCTAACAGATCACGTTCCCAGGAAACTGAGCGAATTAAATCTGATTCACTGCCAATACCTCTCTACTGGTGCTGATTGGAGAGACCTTCCAAAAAAGAAGGTAATTTTCAAGGTTTTAAGTTATACACAGGAATGACAGTCTCACCTTGGTTTCATGTTTTCCCAGGTTCAGTTGGCAAGTGGGAAGTTTGTTGACTTGAAACCCCAATGGTTGATTAAGATGCAAAGTAAAGGTAGCCAATCAAAGGGTGTACTAGGAAGGTTAGAATGGGAAAAAAACTTCCCAACTGCTATTACCTGTCCTCAACCAAGAGGAAAGGTTGGGAGATGGTTTCATCCTCAACAGGATAGGCTGATTTCCGTCCGCGAATATGCTCGAGCTCAGGTATATGTACATCTAATAACTTTCCCATATAAATTAAATTAGTTTGCACCTGTTTATTTTCCATCAAATTTGTACAAACCTAGCTTAAAAATTCACTCACTTTTCAAAATGACATGTGGGAAAGTGAATTAAATTTTATTTTGACCAATTTTTAGGGGAAATACTTAACACCTAAATGCTAAATGGAAAAAAATTAATGCATGCCCTCAAATGGTTGCTAAACACATGTGGTGCTGTGCGATTTGTGTACTCATTTGAGTGTGTCTTGTGTAATAAAAGTTTTCAATGTTCCCCAAATTGAGAAAATGTGCATCCTTAATGTTGAATAATAAGTCTGCGACATAAAAGGCCAACCCGTGTACAACTTTGTCTCTATGCTTTCTAAATGAGTGGTGTTTTAAATAGTCTTAGACATTGAATTTATACTGTACAATACATTCCGTTACCAAGTCTGTTTACCCCCAGCATACTTGGGATTACAATGTTAATGATGATGATTAAGACATTGTGTTGCAAATCTTGCGTGCAGGGATTTCCAGACTCGTATAAATTTGCGGGGAATGTTAGGAATAAGTACCAACAAGTAGGCAATGCTGTGCCTCCACCTCTGGCATTTGCACTGGGGAGAAAGCTCAGAGAGGCAATAGAAACTCCTTGAATGGTGAATTAGCACAAACCATCACTTGTTTAATATAACTTTTTAAGGTACTAATCGAGAGTCTTATGGAAGGAGAGTTTTGTCTCACCCGTTCGATCGAGTCATGGGAGGAGCCTCTTGCAAAAATGCAACGCGTTGTGCATTGGGTTGTTTCTCACCCTACAGTTTAGAGTCTTAATAGTTCATTAAACATTAACTTATTCTATGGAAGAAGCATAACCCATTTGGCATGGGAAGTTTTGTAAAAGAAATCCTATGTTTTGGAACATTTACTACACTTGTTGAGTCATAGACCACTACATTTTAATTGAAAATGAAAACATACTCAGATTCTAATGAAGGATCGTTTTTATGTTGTTAGAGTATAAAACTTTCTTAATAATGATGTCAAAGAATGGATAAAACCATAAGTTACTTGTGATTGTAGGTTTATAAAATGCTTCATACTCTAACATGTTCCTTCCATGTCCATGCGAGTTTTGTTTTAACTTGAACTTTATATGTGAATATTGATTTTTTGGAATTGGGCGAGGGTGATATTTGAATTTGTTTTATTGTTGTGCCAAAAAGATTTTTCTAATCATAGTTTGCCCGAATACATGCACTACAAGTGTAATGCAACTTGTTGACACACATTTTTTTTAGTGAAAAAAAAAAAGAAGATACATAGTGCATACCTACAAGTTCTTTCCTTATAAAAGGACTAATCAGAGATTCATAGTATATAATGTATATTTGATTTGAGGATATTATTAGAGATGATCGAGAACATTGGGATAACAAGGTCGATGAATGATATAGGACTATTGAAACACTAGGAACATTGTGTTTATATTTCCTCGATAAAATGACTTTGGGACATAACTTGATACTTGAAGATATATCTTCATGGACTTGAGATGTTATCATATATAGTGAGCCTAATTGCATTCTCATATTGTCAACCTAATTGTGAGTGATGTTTACACAGACCACATGATTTAATTGTTAGTATTAGTAATATTTTTTAAAGACACTTATTTATGGAAGAAGCACAACCCATTTGGCATGGGAAAGTGTAAAACTTTTTCTTAAATTACTTCAAATTTCGTGGGATTTTGGAAGGTTTTTTTGTTGTTGCATTCTAATTAAGGTCCATTTCAATGTGATGCCAACAAAGTTTACTCGAGGCAAAAACATCTCTTTGCATGGAAATTGGAAAACAATCATGCCAATTTACACCAACCAGTTTTCTTTGCTAATTAGGTAGTTCCATGGAGAGTGAGTCTCAAAGAGCTAATGGCTACTGATGCAATAAGATTCACACAAAATGAGGGTGCACTTAATATTCAATTTCCAAGTCCTACACACACAAAAAGTTTACCAACAGTAAAAATGAGAACTACATACTCCGGTTACACACAGATCACCCTGAAGGGCCTAAAGTGTAAGGGGTGACTCTCGGACTACAATAGCGTCCATTCCTAAACACAGTGTTGCAAAAGCACGACTTTCAAACAGTAAGAGACATTCCATTGTCAGCCACCGTAAGGTTAAGTATCATCGTTGCTGCTTTTGGAGCCCTGTGAAACATATCATTTTTTTCAAAGGCAGGACAAATATTTACTCGTATATATAAAATATTTACTCGTAATAACAAACGGTTTATTAATTATTATAACCCCTCTGTCCCACAAAAAAACTTCACACTTAGGTTTTGTGATGTCCCCAAAAAAACTCACTTTTAGTTTAATCCTTTTAAGGAATTAAATATGTGGCTCATGGCATCTCTCCCTTCCAAACAAATTCTAACTACCCACTTTACTTAAACCACGTGAAGTCAAATAGATAACTTCTTTATGGGACAGAGGGATTATATACTCTTAGAAAGAAAGAAAATAAGAAAAACTGAAGTAGTGGAGAGTATGAGAGAAGAATTGAAGGTGTACCAGGCTTCGGGTGTCTGGTAGAGTGAGGCGGAAGTGCCAAAGCATGATTGAAGCATGTCGGTGTTTACAACTCCGGGGCTAAGAGCGACAATGGCAAGTCCAGTTGGCAACTCCTTTGCTACCGATCTTGTCAGACCCTCTATAGCCCATTTTGAAGCACAATATGGGGCCACCTAGCAAGACAAAGCTGCTATGGTTTTAACCAACCATTAAGCTAATAGGGGATGCCTTGTTTGGTAATCCCTTAAACCACATGTAATTTGTTTCTTAAGATCACAACAAATAAAACAATAAAAAATGTCACTTCCATGCTTTCTTTTCCAAGTTGAGATCCAACATTTCTCAACCCAAATCGTCTAGAGCATTCCCCTCAATACCCCTCCAAAACCCATCAGCTAAATATAGCATAAAGAACAGGTTTGGATGAAGGGTTTCAGAGCGGAAGATTTCGGGAGGCTAAATGCGTGTGTGTGTGTGTACATGTGTGTGGGGGGGGGGAGATTTCATATTAAAAATAAAGGACTAACACTAACAACGATAAGTCATCATATTCCCCTACAAAACCCTTCATTCAAACAGGAAAACTGAAGCAAAAGAGTTTAACCTGTCCAGCAGCCGATCTTCCCCATCCAGAAGACAAATTAACAATAACACCTTGCTGCTTCCTGTCAAGCATAAGTGGAATGAAGTGACGCATCATATTTGCTACTCCTTTCACATTTGTATCGATCACATTATCAAAGTCTTCCACTGGTACCTCCCATAGCCTATTGTTCCTATTAATGGTTCCTGCATTGTTAACTACCAAAGAACACTTTCTATATCAACAACAAATAGCTATCTAATTGAAGAAAAATGTTAAATATATGGAAGAAAAACTATAAAGCCGTACACGGCCTACGCCAAGCAACACACTAATGAGTAACTAACACACAGAAAGACAAATAAATTCTGACAGAAGGATTGTTATAGTGTACATACCTAAAATATCTGGAATGCTTTTCTTTTCCCTAACCGCATGTGCCAGTTCTTCAACGCTGCTGTTTGACCTCTAGGAAGCAACCATAAAGCACTAACAATTATCATCTAACAATTTGTATATAACGTCTAATTGCAGGTTGAGTCAAGCAAACTGCACGCATCATTAGGAAGGAGGGATATATATGTCAGGATGTAAAAAAATTTAGAAGTAAGATTAATGAATTATCATCAATTCCTCATTATCAAATAGTGTTATCTGAAGAAATTAGTTGAAAAATCATTGTTTTACTTTGCTATCAATCCAAAAGAATCAACACACAAGTAAAACTGTATAAGTTTGCAGACTATGTAATTGCATCCATCCTTAGTTCTCAATTTTCTAACACCATTCTCTGTTACTAAATATAGACATGTCAAGTTGAATTCAAGCTTTGAAAGTACAAATCAGTGTTTTCTGCGTGATCTGTGAGTGATATACACATGTATGTGTGCCTGTGATGTTAAAGGACTCGGGGAGGATGATGAGATAGTAACTGTACCACATCAACATTCATGATTAGATGTTTGCCTTGAGAAGACAATGATGATGATGATGTGGAGGCAGATGTGAGCTCGGCTTCAAGAGAACTGAGCTTATCCTGAGAACGGGAGCAGCCGACAATGTTGTGACCTCGCTTTGCCAACTCTAAGGCGAGTGCTCTACCAAGCCCCCTGCTCACCCCGGTTATCAATACCGTTTTGTGAAGTCCAGTTCCCGGCATTGACAATCCTTCTAACTTTTCAGTCTTAGGGGTTGGAGGTGCTGGCATCATCTTCCCTGAGTTCAGATGTGAAAGACAAGCCCAAAGTTGCACATTCTGTATAATACTGTCATTTTTAGCAAATTTTTCCTGCCAAATCCAAATGCTTGAATAACATCACTTCTAATTGTGGAATTAATATCTGGCCATGCATGCAAATTTTTATCCATTGCTTTCAGGACATATCAAATTTCTAGTGTAAATCGCTACAATCGTGGAGCATTGATTAATAGTGGACCATGCATGCAAAAAAAGCCATCCATAACTTCACAGAATATCAATTTGTTACAGTAATGAATCAAGGTGAGGAGTGCAGGCAGAAAGTTGTCCGTAAAATGGGCTTTATCTTTTGAATAAGACACCTTTCTTAATTAAAATGCACCATCAAAGGCAACTGAAATAATTTACAAACTTTGTGAAGGGCACATAAAGAGTACATTCAATAATGTATGTAATTCTTATATAAAAATTTAGAGACAAAGTGTGGCAGATTTGCCTGTTTTTTATACTTTGTATTTCTTTATTTGTGAGATTCTTTTAAAACAATGTACAAATAAACTCTGAAGAGCAAGCAGAAGATCTAAAGAATGACTCATCCTTTAGATAAGTATGTGTAAACCATTGAGAGATTTTATGATTTTATCAATCTCTCATTCGCTTCCGGTAACAGAATGAATAGATTAATCACACAACTGATTAGGATAATACATCCTCAGTAATAAAAATGTTTAGCCTACGTGTTAAATCATATTCCAGAAAATGGGTTTAAAATGACAAATAGGTCCTTCAAATATGATCGTGAGTTTGTCATGTCAACAATGCTCATACACAATCTGTAAGATATTTTAGATGATTCATCATTATTATTTTTTGTCGAGTATGAAGAGTGAACAAATATTTCATTACAAGCATAAACAAGAAAGTGGACAACTAAATCCACACAGAGGGAGTAGTTCCCAATAGCAAAATTAAATCTTTTGGAAATTATCCACAAACAGCTCGTGACTTAGCTAAACAAACTGAACAGAAAATGCTCACTTGTTTTAAGACAAGCATTACACTATCTCTGCATAAAACCTTCTTTTGCCTGAGAAAAGCGAGTAAAAAATCTGATAAAAAATAATATGATAATACTCCACCCGTTCCTACTTACTTTGCACACTTCCTTTTTCGGAAATTCTCTCCCTTTCAAATTAACTTTTTGCTTCACTTCTCCATCAATTCAGCCTATTTCTTGATCCTACTTAAATCGCTTTACAGAAGTATACAATCTAATTTTATTCTTAATCTGCAGAAATCAAACCGTATATGATATAATATATACCTGAGGGACTGAGGTTGGATGGTGATAAAAGAAGAAAATCCCGCCGGCGATTGTCCGGTAGACGGAGAGAGGCGGCCAGATCCGAATGGGAGGCGAAGCTGCATCTAAAACTGTTCTAGCCCAAAACTGCAGAAACGAATTGGGCTTCAGTCCAAGTCTAGTTTGGTTTGACTGGCCCATCAATAATCAAATATTCTGAAGATCGGATGTCGAACCGAACAAGTAACTCGATTAAGGGTTAATCGGTCGGACATTCGAATTAATGTACCCGTTCAACGACCCTATCATTCTATCAATAATGACCGATCTATATTCCTACTAATTAATGTGTTATTATACACTGCATAACATTTCATAAATAAGAATAACATAAATTAATTGTAATATATTGGAATATGGGAGATTATGGCGATCGAGGTGGCTCCGAGAGTTCTTGTGTATCTTTGGATGGCAATTAAAGGAATCCTACCCACGGTTAAGGCTTTTACGAATAAATTGAGGGGGTGCTCGTTGTGTGGAGATCCAGTGTATGTATTATGCCGATCGCGTGTGGGCTAGAGTTAGTAAGGACAAGGGTAGGGGCGAAGCCACATCCTTTGTTTTGTGGATTTGATCTCGCATTTGCTCGAATTCCACTAAAATATAATTTAGGGACTACTAAAAACTTCCGCTGATTCATTGGTATGAACTGTGCAGAGTAGTATGATACTGATAGAGGCTATAATTGGTTACTAGGGGAATGCACAAAAGTGCAGTATTATCATATTGTCTGGAATAAATTCTCAGTGCCCAAGCACCAGTTCCTAATGTGGATGTGGTGTAAAAATTGAGTTCCAGCAAAAGAAAGAATTAGAAAGTATATGGAGGTAGATCCTGTTTGTGTGCTTTGTGGAACAGCGAATGAAGACCAACACCACCTGTTCTTTGAGTGTGAATATGCTAAGGGCATACAAAGAAGTATTTTAGAGGAGGGAGAAGAAGGCAGGCCATAATTGCTGCTTTTGCTGCTAGTTGTTATGCTATTTGGAGAGCTAGAAATCTGAAGATTAAGCAAGATAAATATGTGGCAAGTGAAGAATGTGTTAAATGGACCCAGTTTCAAATTAAATCATATATTAATGCAAAGCTGAAGTGCATGTATTTGAACTGATTTTGGAGTAGAAGCTCTTGTAGAATTGGGGGATTTGTACAAGTACTCTTTGGTGATAATAAAATTTGCACTTTGGTTTCAAAAAAAACTTCCGCTGATCCCAAATTACTCTTGCTGGATTACAGACAATGCCTCCATCTCCCACAGACGCCATCCTTGTAGCGATCGATCCCATTACCGCCATCCTATTTCCAGGTCATCTCTTCTCGCTGACGATTGTAATTGACGTCCTTGCTAGAAACACCTATCTCTGGACGATCCCGATAGCAAGCGCTGACAACATCTCAGATCCCTCAACCCTAGGCTACGAACTCTCATAAAATTAATGTTAGGGACACTATTTTCTTTATGTTTACTGCGAATTTGCTCGCTCAATCTTCTCTATGTTGAATCTCCTATAAGAACCCATTTGATTGTGATGGGAAATAACCCCACACCGGCCTAGGACTGACATCAGCATAAATTCCCTAAGTATCGGACTTGGACGTTCCTGCCCGGCCCAGAGCTCCGCTCGCCTCCCTGCCCGGCTCTGCGCTCCGCTCGTCCTTCCTGCCCGACTCTGAGCTCCGCTCGTCCCCTCCTGCTCGGCTCGGCCAACCAAGCCGAGCCCGAACCCCGCGACAACGACGTGAGGAAAGCGACGTTCAACGAAGACTTGATTAAAGCGATAGGATGAAAGGGACAAGTCCTAAGGACAGGTGACGTCCGCTAAACGACGAGCCTCGATCAGAGGGCTTTGACTTAGTGTATTGTACCCCCTATAAAAGGGGTGGCACCCCTCATTGTAATGAATCCGAATTTGAATCGATATACTCCTACTTTGCAATCTCTCTCTCTCTCAAACTTATATTATTTCATACTCTCGGTGGTTTATAGCCATCAGATTGGCACATAAATTTTAAAAAGGCTAATTTGAAGTATTGAGTGACTTTTATTAACAATGAGAAACAACACTGCATAATTGATGGCCCAAAATAGTAATTTTTTATTTCACATAAGAAGAGAAATTTAGGAGAGGACTAGTCACTTTGCTTTCTAGCTAAGCTAGTAGCCCTTTCATGCTTTTTGATCAGTTTGATGATAGATGGTTCCAAATATTTTTAAAGAAGTTGCAGAATTTCAATTTTAAAATTTGAATTCTGAAATCATCAAAAATAGTTACCGAAGTAGGTTGGTATTTATGAAGTTATTGTTATATAAGGAGAGATTACCCTTTAATCACAAGTTATAACTTAAAATAGAGAAGGAGAGATTACCCTTTTAAGTAAACTTTTGCAATAACCCGTCCCCACTTTTGCATAAACTTTTTAAGTTCATAAACTTGGTACTGTCTTCACTTTTGCAATAACCTTTTTGAGTTTGACCGCAAATTATTAAAAAAGTATATTTAATTATAATGTAAATTTAGTAAAAATAAGTTTATTTAAGATATAATTTTGAAGTATCAATCTTTTATAATATTTAATATCAAACTATATTTAACAATTTTTATAATACTCCGTGTTTAATTATTTTTAAACTAAAAAAAACCAAATTGTGTTAATGTTTGGGGACTAAAAACTAAAAACGTCGTTAGCAGACAGACCTAAGACCTAAGGTTAGAAAATACTCCGTGCAAAGCTTCCTTACTTCCGTCGCGGATACGCCTTGCCGCCGCTAACTCTGCCAGAGTTTGCGCACCATCGCGGCTACGGCTTGCCGCCACTAACGCCGCCACCAACCCTGACTGCCATTCCAACTTCTACAGGTATCTATACTTTGATAGAGTTGAAATTTTAAATGTTTAATGTTTTAACTCTTTAATAGATTAATTTATTGTTGTTTCCAACTAATAATTGATGAAAATTGCATATTTTTAATTGGTCTTTCATCTTTGGATTCTTGTTTTGAATGCTTTTTATGTGTTCAATTAAGAGAAAGTTTTTCTCAATTTTAAAAAATAAAAAAAGAAAATGAATTTCTGTTATTATTTTTTATGGTAATTATTGAGACCATTATTTAAACCCATTAATTTATATATTGGGTAAGTTTGTGCATTTTGCAAATATTTGGTTTGTGACTCTAGCATTACTCATTCTTTAATATTAAAAATCCATTTCTTGTTTATATGGATAATGACATGTCAAACACATAGAATGCATAAGTGTGATTCAAATCTTTAACCCAATTTTAAAGCAGTTGTTATCTCAAATTCCATACATTGTTCTGTTAGTTTAATAATTGAGAAGGTTAAAGGAATTACATGAAAAACCAAAAAAACCGTACAGTACCTTTATTAGATTGTGGATTCGGTCATTTGGCTCCAATATTATTTCAAGATTTAGTACACTCAAACACAGTTTTCTCTCTATGCTACTCTCCAATTTAGCAATAACATCACATAACCCTTGTACACAAAAACCAAATCAATTGTGTTTTAATTGTCTCATACAATGTTTACCCGGTTGTTCCAAGAAAGTAAACCACTTTTTTGCTGAATACTCATCACTACATTCACATCCAATAGTAACTTTTCTCAACAAAGCAACATACAGTTCTTTGCTACTCATAGCTCACTGATTGATATCCATTAGGACACAGTATGCTCCGGTAATTTTAGAAAATGGACATCTACCTTAAAGTGAGACACTGTATATAATGGAATGTAAGAGGTAATTCTATACACGACTTTAGTTTGTTGACGTGGTGCTGAAATGTTTATATACTTGTGTAATGCTTTGTATAAGAAGTGGGAGTATCTGACATATATAAATGGGATTTAAATATCTAAATTACCAATTTTAACTCCAAAAATCAGGATTATAGGGCGTACACATAACACAACAGCATCTTTGTTCTGTCTTGATCATCATCTTCATAAATTTAAACAGCCCTGACACTTTCAGTATAACCTGTCAATTTCAGAATTCAAAATGTATTGACCCAAAATATGGGACAATAGACCATACACATTGTCGACCTGAGCTCCTAAATTCTTCAAATACACATTCGATCCAATCTACATATATTTTAATTTCAAAACATAAGTCTGTCTAAAGCATTCAATATAAGATTAGACAATTATTTCCATTTCATCAAACTCAGCATCATTGTCCAAGTCATTGCATATTTTATTTGAAGCATGTTACTCCCTAGGAGAATCATACATTGCTAGTGTGTGTGTGTGTGTATCCCTCGTAAAAGACAAAACACCGTATGACTTAGGTCCCTTGTACAAATCAGCATCAACATTCTGCTTCACAGATACTTTGAACAGCCCTCTAATACCAACCAGTTTCCAAATTGCCTTTGGAAATGATTTAGGATTACCAGTTCGCTGTAAGAAATATTAGGAAAAGTTTATTGTTTTATCAAATGTTTTACACAAACCAAACGAATGTTCAACTGTACATACTACATACCTTGGATACTACCTCCCTCAATCTGGCAGCTGGCATACCCAACAATTCTGTGCATTCTCTATCCCACAGAACAAATGTCACATTCCCATGCCCAACTTTGCTGAGATTATGGAATACAAATGATCACGAATCCTATATTTTTTAACTCAAATATTGAGATGTATTTTATTTTAACACCAAGTTTTTATTAATTACAAATTTTTTAAACACTGCTCCATTTTTTATTTTTTAAACACCACAACATGTTGGGATCCCTCTAAGTGCCACACCGAAAGTTTAGGAGTAAATGAACCAAAATATATAGGTTCACTCAACCCCATTAGTATGAGGCCTGTTGGGAGGTGCCCAAAAACAAATCTATGAGGGCTTGGCCGTGTGACGGTGTAACAACGGTACCAAGACCAAGAAAGAGGATCCGCAAGTGGTGTCTTGTGTCGAAAGTCTTCTCGACAAGAGAAGGTCGGGCGACGTGTCCTGTAAAGTTGTAGCCACGGCGATACAAGATGATTTGGCGGATCAAATGGTGTAGCCCAGCAAAGGGAAGATTTGTGGCTCGAGCCTTGCATCGAAAGTCTTCCCAATAGGAGGTCGGGCGGCGTGTCCCGCAAAGAGTGTAGCGGCGGTGCAAGATGGTTGGATGATAAAGAAAAAATGAATTACTGCTGGAGGGGAGGTCGGAAGTTGTGTGGTCTTTGGTTGAGGGGAGGTTTGTTGGGATTCCTCCAAGTCCCACATCGGAAGTTTAGGAGTAAATGAATCAAAATATATAGGTTCATCCAACCCCATTAATATGAGGCCTTTTGGGAGGTGCCCAAAAACAAATCCGTGAGGGCTTGGCCAGAGCGGACAATATCATATTGATGCGGGGTTGGGGTAAGGGCACGGGCAGTCCCAACACATCATGCATCAGAGCATACAATTCACCCTCCTTGATGAAATCCTTGTACTTTTCTATCTGTGATTCTTTTATTTGGGCGAGGATCAAGCTTCCCCGCATAAGAATCAACAGTTAAATGAACATGACATTCATGCTGAATAAACTTTTTGTGGTGAAAACAATTTCCATTGTTTCTCCGCTCCTTTCATGTGCTGGAACATGGTAAACTCTGACTGCTCTCAACCTCAAGATCCAATCGTTTGTACGTTGATCAATACTTTTAACAGTAGACAACATTTTTTAATAAAATGAGTTTATAGATGGGATGATATAAGAGTTCAATAGATTTTGCCATACTGCGATGAACTGTGACAAAATAACAGTGATTTATATAGGAAAAACATTAAGGGGGCGTTTGGTTCATGCTGAGGAAAGGGAAAGGAAACAGGTTAGGGAATTAGAGGGAATGGGAATGATTACCCTTGAATTACTCCGTCTGTTTGGTTCAGTATAGAAAAGGGAATAGAATTCCCTTTATTCGTGTTTGGTTCAAAACGAGGGAATCAAATTTTTTTACACAACTATGATTAATTTGTTAAAAATAATACTTATGAATTTTATCAAACATACAATTAAACAAAATTCACACCTCACAAAAAATTTGTACTCCCTCCGTCCCAAATTATTTGCAACGTTTGCTTTTTCAGCAGTCGTGGGAACTTTTGTTTATTTCTACGTTTTCATTGGTTATTTGATAAAATAAAATATTTTTGACACCTCTTATTTCGAAGAACTTTTCATGTAGTTTTTTGATATGTAAATTTTATTTTTTTTATTTCTATACCAATATGTAAATAAAATGAATTGAAAAAACTTGATATTTTGCCTCGGGAATACAAATGTGACAAATATTTAGGGACGGAGGGAGTAAAAAAATTTGTAACAAAATTGTAAAAAAATCTGTAAAAAAATTTGTAACAAATCTGTAAAAAAATCTGTAACAAAATTGTAAAAAAATTTGTAACAAATCTGTAAAAACAATTTGTAAAAAATCTGAAAAAAAATTTGATTTCTAAAAAATTTGTAAAAAAATTTGTAACAAATCTGTAAAAAATTTTGAAAAAATTGTAAAAAATTTGTAAAAAGAACACATAAAGAAAGAGGGGAGGATAGGAAACGAGGGGAGAATAGGAAACGAG